ATTCAAAAATTTGACTGAAAGTTTTGAATGATCCCAACTACAAGAGAAAAAAAAATTCTCTCTCGATGTAGCTCACATCATGAGCTTGAAATGCATCAATTACAATTTCTTGGAGCCGTTTCATGGAAAGTTGGAATCAACTGAGACATTCCTTCATTTCATAAAGCAAAGATTTCCACTGAATTTGATTGCATCTGGCAAACAATCTGAAACATTATGCCACGTTGCCAACGATTGGATAGGCATGTTAAACACAAGGTATTCGAGTCTGTCCTATGTGCAAATTGTACGAAGGAAACGACATTGCCTGATGAACCCCGCAAAAAAAAAAAAAATCCCTAGACTTGCAGCCACATCCCAAGACCGAGAGGAGTGACTCACCCTGGATGATGTCAGAGAACAGCTGCTTGTTCTTCGCTTCTCTCGCCTGGGCCTCCATCCACTCGCTCTTCTTGATCTTGAACAGCTGGAGGCCGTAGTTCTGCCGGATGAACATCCCGTACTGCGTGGACGAGAGCGATCGGGCTGGGACGGACGAGAGCGCCTCGGCGAGTGCGGCCCGATGCTGCACGCTCCCTCGTTTCCACAGGGCATCCAGAGTCCTGGAGCCATGCTTTGAGCCCGCCAACTCTCCCACGTGCTCCTTGAGGGGGAGCCAGCAAAAGGGGCGAAATAATGTATTAGTTGTCCCATGAGGGCACATGATTACCTGTGCTCATCTTCAAGTCTCTGTTTCACCGAAATTGAATCAAAAGTATTTCGTGGCTGATTGCAGGATACTACTATAGAGTTAATCGCAGATCAGACACAGTCAGGGTGGAAATAACTGCCAAAAAAAAAATACTCTGAGGCTGAAGGGATGCTTCAAACAAGAGAGACTGCCTACAATAGAATTTCCAGTTCCTCCATTCTGCTCATTTTTGCAGAAACTTAAGAACAAACCATCAACTAAGGAAAGGGGTACTCTGCTGATTTCAAAGGAAAAATTTCACATAATTCCCCTGGTGTCAACTTCTTCATTGTGAGAAAATTTTTCCTGATTGCAATTCCAAGCATATCCAAGCGAAACTTTATAAAGAGCTTCACCGAGAACAAAAGGAAACTAACTGCAAGCAATCCTATGAGTTTTCGACTGGACTTGTCCCCAACGGTCTGGCTGAAGGCGAAGGCATCAAATACGTGACTCCCCCGGGGATCACATGCCAGGCTTGCCAACACCTTCGACCCCAAGGACAGAAGACCGCTCACCACCTGACCACGCGACAACGAAAACGTGAAAGCTCCATCGACCACGCAAAACGATTCGAGCCTCGACCTAATTTTTTGGGCTGTCGGAAGTGCAAGAGATGCTGATAGACGAGGGAACCGTGCAGAGAGACGTGGAGAGGATCCTCTTCCTTTCTCGCATTTCCCAGGGGTCTGAGCTCGATGATGCACCTGGTCAGATCCACATATTCTCCTTCCTGACATCCAAGTACTCCTCCCAGATCCTGCACGGTGAGTAACTTTTCATCACAGGGGAGAAAAACAGATGCACAGATCCAGGAACTAAATCAACTAAATCATGACCAGGGGTCATAGGAGTGCATTGCATCTGAAGAATGAATAAAATGGACAGTAAAGCATGTAACAAGTCCCATCTCTCTGAATTGGTCATATCTTCCAGCTAATTACTAAATTTATGCTCCTTCAGTCACATACATGCACGAGAATCTTTACCAAGCAGAAACAACTGATTAGTCAACCCTTAGTCTTTGCTATGAGCCTTTGCTTTGTTCGGATAGGATATCATGTTATGACCTCTATCTCAGTGTTTCCCAAACGGTGTGCCGCCAGTAAGGCTTAGGTGTGCCGTGAGATTTGAGAGTTGATAAAAATAAAAAACGAAATAAAAAAACTTAAAAACCAGAAGGAACGCCACCTCTCGGTGGAAAACGAGCTGAGAGTTGCTCTATCACGCCACGTATCAAACTGCTGTGTTCAGTGAAGCAAGCACAAGTTTCCCGTTGAAAGTAAGTAAATGGCCGGGTGTGCCATGGAAAGTTCAAGGTGTCCTTATGCAAATAAAAAAAGATTGGGAACCGCTGCTCTATCTTCTCGTTCTGAGTCTACGTTCATACATCATCAGCCACTGAATTAGATGTGAAGCATTCGATAATTATTAGTTCTGAAACTCCGATGAGACAGCTTGAAGTTAAAATGGATGCTTGCTCGTTTGAGAATAAGATACTGTATATTGTTACTTTGCACTCCATTTGGAAAAATTTCAGGGCAAAAAAGACAACTTGGTGTCTAGCTCGACCTAATGATATATACCTGATGAAACTTCCTCTGGGTTTAACTCATAAATTAACCACTATTGGAATATCTCTCTGCGATGGTTACTTGTCAGCGACATCTATCATTCATTTGACTCACCTAGACCAGCCGTAATGTACATCCTGGCAATGCGAACGTTCCTTGGATGAAGAGACAGTATGGGAATGCCAGGCAAAGTCTGGACCTGCCTTAAGAAATTGAGACTGCTTGGTGCTGTGTCGTCGGCAGGCTTCACTCAGGGACAGGAGGAGGCCCGTGTATCCACAATGAAAGACTTGAGGCAAATGAGGACTCACCAAATCGTACAGCCGCACCGACTGCAAAGATGACGCTTTGATGGCATCCAATGACAAAGGCATCGAGATTGAAAATTTTCGACTTCGTACCAGCTCCTGGTTGGGGCATGCAGACAAGAGCTTCTGAAGGGTGAAATTCCCCAAATGATGAGTGGCAAGTAGAGAAATTTGCTTCTCGAACAGGCCCTCGTACGATTTCTCGTAGATGCTTTGGTTCGACGTCACGACGAGGACCTCGACGACGTGCAGGGTCGATGCATCTTCCAGGGTTTCGCCAAGGAGCCAATAGCACATTCAAGTGAAGTCATGAACGATAAACATAATTATAAAAATTTAAACACTGTCAATGTTCAACTTGCCCCAGCAATCATGATCTGGATTTCCAAAAAACAAGATATGCAACACGACACATTGTAGCACAGTGACATCCAAGCACAATAGTGTTTACACCACTCATAGTCACTGGGCTGTTACTGTCCACTAGGGCTGCCAAGAGCTACCATTGTCAAAAGGGTGAGAAGCATAATCGGCAGCAATTTGGACCTCGATGGCAGCTCAGAATTCTGAATTCATTGGATTCATGCCCTGGCCTCTCAACTTCACGGGGCTGCCTCGGCTGACCAGGATTTCGTGGATGTCTCCGTCTCGCTCTCAAACGAGCAGTTTCTCTTCGAGCCTAAGCAACTTTTTCCCTCGTGGGTTTGCATGGAAAGTGATGGTGGTGGACTTTATGACGGATGATGCGGGCCGGGTTGTGAACAGTAGGAAGTGTCGATCGATGCGAGAAACGGGGTTCCGGTCGACGAGGGGAAAGTGTCGCTGCTGCCTGTGGCGTTGAGAGAGCCGCTGAGTTTTAGGGCCGCCGAATGAACTCGGGAACTCTCGTCAGAGTTCGTGGAAGTCTTCCACGAGGTCGGCTAGTATTGTATATATGGTATGTCTCAGTACTCGTAATCTTCTGATCTCCCCCCCCCCCTCCCCCAGAGAACCATATTGGATGCGGAAGGGGAGAGAAGTTGGTCATCTTGGCACTCTTGAATTCTTCTTCTGAGTAGGCTCCAGAGTCAAGATTTATAGATAATTCGGATATATATGGAGGCATTAAGACCCTTTCCAGCTGATGGTACACCACGAACGAGCTAACTGGGCGGCCCAGCACTGACAAGTGGGACGTGCGGCTGGTGGCCCACAACCTAGTCAAGGTGGTGGGCCACCAACTCGCGTAGTTGGTGGCCCATCACCTATGTGCTACTTGGGTGAATTTCGACGCAAAGGATAATAAAATCGCTCATACGCCGTTCTCATCCTGTTGCGAATTCCAGGTTTGCAAAGCAGAGGAAAGAATTGCAATGGCAGGAGTGAGGCAAAGAATTCCTGTCAACCTTTTTCAACCGAATTACAGCAACCTCCAGTCTCAAAACGTGAATGGGCAGTGCATGCGATTTGTTCTCGAATAGTCTCAAAATCAAGTTCTAACTTTAGGCGGGGGGGGATTAAGGCGCAAAAACTTGAGTCGGAATTTTTTTAACTATCCCTATATGTCTCCCTTTCCCTTCCACCGCGGTGAAAGGATTCTTCCCACTCTCCCAAAACAGGAAGAACGCGGCGTGATGGTGTGACGCGGTGGAAAACTTTTGCTGAAATGAACAGTTTTCAACATCATTGGAGCAACGACTTTCTGGATATTTGGAGGTGGAGGGCATAGGAACTCTGGGACACAGTTATGCATTTCACGAGTCTTTCCCTCCTTTCTTTTTGCTTTCTTCCTTGAACAGAGGGGGGTAGGGGGGGGGACGTGATCCCCCTGACCCTCCCGACGCAATGCCGCTGTTTGCCCCCTCTGTTTCCTTGCTCACCGAGCTTTAAGTGTGTGGACCCTCCAGTCATTCATACCATGGGTTCGTTTCACCAAAATTGGATCAAAACCCTACGAATCACCGAGAATTTTTCCACTCTAGACACCTCGTGCAATTGTTACCACACCCTGCTGCCTGTTCTTTGTGATATGGTCAACACCCTTGGGGATTCAAGTAGAATTTCACATGAACAGGTTACTATTTTTATGTGACCATTGCAAGCCAAAGCCAACTTTGATACATTTAGGATGTTCAGAAATGGGAGAAATGACCAGAAACTAGTGGATACTAGTAGTACATTGGACTTTAAAAAAAAGGACATTATAAGCCTCATCAAAAATTTAGTATGGGCTTTTAAGCGGGAGAAAAAGCAATTTTTGCCCAGTTACCTCATGCCACCCCTACCAAACTCCAATGTAAACCATAGTTATGGCTTCCATGGATTTCCATGATGTCCCCATGTGAGTGCATGCATTTTTTGTATTCTTGATGGGAAAAAAATGATGAAAATGGAATTATTTATTTTTTCCTCACTTTCCTGCAGATTTCTTTAAAGTTTCAAATATGCATCACAGTGTATGAGGATAAGTAAATAAAAACCAGGTCACCGGGGAGATAAGACTCAGGAGAACAATGTGATAAATTAATGGTAAAAATCTGGAGAAATATGCCCCAAGAAGAAAATGTGTGCAATGGCATGCACATCCTGCAAACAGGTAGCGATGCTTTGGAAAGAGAACACCTCTGGCATCATGGCAGAGACAGAGATGAATTTCTCATCTCTACAGATGTCTAGCTCGAGTGACGGAAGTTCTTCCCGGCATACTGTGCATAGGGTCCCAGCTCCTCCTCGATGCGGATGATCTGATTGTATCTGGCCAGCCATTCTAACTGGCATGGTGCTCCAGTTTTAATCTGCAACAAGAGAACCATCATACATGTGTACATACATTTAGAACTATCAATGTCAACATTTCCATTGGAAAAATACCAATACCATAGAACTTTCATGTCTTAAGCATACAATCGGACACAAAATCACATTACCTGGCCAGAGCTTAGACCAACAACAAAGTCAGCAAAGAAGGTGTCCTCGGTCTCTCCAGTTTGATAGGATACCATTGTCCCCCAGCCATTTTTCTTGGCCAGATTGTGAGCCTATGAAGGAGAGATTATGTTAGTAATTCTGTTAAAACAGTTATGAATAATAATGGATTCAAACCATAATTAATGCTAAAAGTGAAATTGGTCCATGGGAACATCTCATCCTTCATGTGTAGCTAAAGTTACAATTATCTTTAAACTATGAACTAGTTGCCTACTTCAAGCTGAATGCAAGATATTCACCGATGTTCAGATGTTACAGCAATCATCATTCCCATGATATGATACTATACCAGTTTTACATTTATCTGGAAGACCAACAAATGCAGAATGACCTGAATGGCCTCGGTGACAGAGCCCATCTGATTGACCTTGAGGAGGAGGCAGTTGCATGCCTTTCTGTCAACTGCCATCTGAATGCGGTTGGGGTTGGCCATGGTCAAATTGTCTCCCACAATCTGTCAGAGGAAAAACTGAATTCAGTCAGAAATTTGAAGTTGCTCAACCAGGTAGAGAAGCAAGAATGAGGAAGACCTGTATGGGGATGCTCTTGCACATCTTCGTCCAGGCATCCAAGTGATCTCTATCGAAAGGATCCTCGATGGAGATGATGGAGAAGTCCTCAATGAGCTCATCATAGAGATCAGCTAGCTGGTCTGGCTGCAACCACTTTGACTTGTCAGACTTTGGGTTTTTGAAGTCCAGGTCATACAAACCATCCCTAAGCACAATAAATTAAATTAAATTAACCATAAACTGACTATTTATCAAGATCAAATATGCAAACAATGGAGAATGTGATAGCTTTGAAATATTAGCTGAACTTACTTGTGAAATGCTGAAGCAGCCACATCCATGCTGATCTCAACCTTTCCTGTATATCCTGCAGCAGCAATGGCATCAGAGATCAACTGCAGAGCTATCCACAAATCATAATGTCAACAACCAGTGGATCAGAATCATGCTTTAACAAAGGGATGAGACTATTAGCGGTAGAGCAGTGGAACATACCATCTTTGTTGTTGAGGATGTTAGGTGCAAAACCACCCTCATCTCCAACAACAGCAGCATCAAGGCCAAACATGTCCTTGATTTCCTTCCGCAGGTGATGGCAGACCTTGGAACCCATGTGTACTGCCTCATGAAAGCTGCTTGCCCCTTCAAACACAGAAAGAAACCCTCAATCTTGGTTTTTAAGGTTTAAAATATTTCCAAATTATTTAGCTATTTTTTTCACCACCAACATCCTACAAGGTTAATTAAAAACTAAGAATAGGACACACCTTTGATGATACCAGTAGCCTTACAAAAACCAAAACCTCCATCTGATCTGAAAAATTAAGACCTAAATGATTCTCCTAAACTTCACGAGCCAATATGACAAGAATATCAATTATAAATTTAAAATGAATAGTCAAATAGACAATCCTGACTCCAACTTAAGGATGCAAGAGCAATGGTTGTCGCCAGAGGAATTCATAGAGGGTAAAGGAGCTAAATCAAATTTCAATCCACCATGGAGCTAATGAAGGGCTTGCATCCCCATAAAACTGTGTTTCTGGCATTCAAAACCTATCTTTCTCAAAACAAAAGTATAAAGTTCATGTGCAGGAAAGAGTTCATCTTCATTAGTTCCCAGTCCTAGGCTCTAATTAATATCCATCCTCATTTCAAAAGGAAAGCAATGCTCATTTCAGCAGTACTGAATTCCAAAAAAAGTCAAATTGTGATACCAGTAGGAAGTATCATGAAGTCCTGCATAGCCAGCCTGTTGTTAGCATGAGAGCCTCCATTGATGACAATGAAAGCAGGGACAGGAAGGATGATATCTGTGTTGCCTGCCAGTTTTGCAATATACCTACAACAGGGAGGTAAAAAAATCATCTCTATATTCACCAGATCCACCCAGTTTCATGAATGTTTTCATGAGCAAAAGAATAAGAGCTGCACCTTAAAGTTCATCACAAGGTCAAGTCTTATCAAGAATGCCTGCTTTTTTCTGATATTTGTTCCAATTGCCTCACAAATATATCTAGTAGGAATGGAAATTCATGCAGCATCACCTGTAGAGAGGGAGGCCCTTGTGAATGGCTCCGGCCTTGCAGATGGCAGCAGAGATGCCCAGCATGGCATTGACTCCAAGATTCAACTTATTCTTTCTTTCTTCTTCCATCAAGAACTTGTCAATTTCCTCCTGCTGGGTGGGGTCAAAGTTCTGCAGGAAACAAGAAGAAACCTAGAATAATCTGACTAATATTACCTTACACAGCAGCTACCAGACTTTTAAATTAAATTTTTTCTGCATTCAATAAATTTTTCATTCATGCACAAATTCTTGAATAGCAAAATCCATTTTAATGCATTAAGTCAGCCAGCTAAAATATGAAGTAAAGGCACTTGGACTCATTGAATCTCAGTAGGTGCTGCCCACATGAGGAGCAACAAAAAAGGACTTGAAAAATAATAAATAAAATAGAAACCAAGTCCAATTTTAGCTGACCTTGGAAACAATGGCTGGTCCAAGGACCTCATTGATGTGCTTGACGGCAACCTTGACCTTGCTGGGATACTCTCCCTTGACCTTATCTCTGAATTCAAGGCTTTCTTGGATGCTAGTGTCAGAGGGAACAGCAGCCCTAAAGAGGCCCTTTTCAGTCACCACGTCGACTTCCAACATCGGGTTCCCCTTTGAGCCAAAGATCTGCCTGGCCTTGACCCTCTGAATAGGCATTTTCTTCACATTATCTGCAAAAGGAAGAGCATAGCAAACGAACAATGATGTATGAATGGAGACACTACAATAGGTAACTGGTGGGTCTAATCTGCCTGCAGGCCCATAGATAAGGATTGTTCTCAATTGGGACCTTCCACTGGTCTTCCCATCACCACCTAAGACAGTAGTTTCCAACCTATGTGTCACAACCCACTCTTGGGTATAAGTAGGATACAGCATGGGTCACCTTGAGTAAAGAGCCCAAAAAAAAAAAAGTTTAGTTTTTGTCATGCATGGTGCCTTACTGCCAGTATTATTGACCAACAACAGTCTTTATGGACTACAGTATCTTGAATAAACCAAAATATGTGATGTCTGTTAAAAAATTTAAGGAATTGCAGATGATAGCCAAGATTCAAAAGAAAGAGACCATAGCATAAACTGAGACTGCATTAAGTAGTATATTCTGTTACCAGGGAAAGTCTTTTTGGACTTCAAAAATCCATTTGAAAAGGATCAACTTCAATTTATAGTCCTTGAAGGGATGTTATTTTTTTTGCACTAATGTAGATTCTTGAATGCAACTCAGTGTTTGATGAAAATTTAAAGAAAGTAGAGAACTGTGAGAAGCACTGAATATTATTCATGTTATTGGAAGGAACATTGAATTCCACATTTTCCAAGCAAACATAAAATCTTTTTTGGAATATTCAAAGTGAGTGAATTAATGAGGTATTTGGCTAATCACCCTTGAAACAAAATTACATATTAGTTTCTGAAGCATGCATTTGGAAAATTTTTGTAAGCCACAGAGAAGGTGGGTAGCATTCCTGTTCAATATTTCAAATAAAGTTCATAAGTAACTTACAAGAACAGGGTGAATGATAAAAAAGAGAGTCATAAAAATAAAATTCATGAGAGAAGGTAACTCACATATGTAAAAATTTAACATGGAAACTGTTAACTCTTTGTGCAGTGATGCATCATTTGTAAGTATCATTTGGTTGAGTCAAAAGTTAAAGCCAATGGTGTGTCATACATCAGTTGGGTGAATATGGCTGGGACCACAGGAGTGGTCAATGATAGTATCATTAAACACAAAGATTTAGTTCCTTAGTTTCCTTATGTAAAAGTTTCAGGTGAATTGATAATTGGAACTCACTAAACCATTTATGAAACAATTCCTGAGTGCTGCTCTTTTTTTTCAAAATACTTTAAATCAGACATTCATCTAAATTTACATATTGATAAGTTCAATAGTCACTGTTTACATTGCTTTAAATTTTCAATCAGGAAGGGAAAGAAAAAGGGGATGGTCATTTCTGGTTGGAAGGTTGGTTGTTTCAGAAACTAATATATAATTTTGTTTCAAGTGTTATTTTTCTTGAAAAACTCCACTGTAAGAAAGGAATAATAATTAAAAACGACATACTTCAGCTTTGCTTGGATCCTTTACACATGGCCTGCCATGAGGAGCACCAGTGATCAACAGTTGCATGACAGACACCAGGTTGTGAGTGTAACCAGTGATTCTTAGATGCAGTTCTCTTATATGGCCAGTGGCACATTGTAGCGGTTTGCATTTTGATTCATGGCAGTCAAAGTGTTAATGTCTACCAATGTCATATTCAATTTAATATAATTAGATATTCTTTCCTAACTTGTTAGTGAAGCAGATTTGAGCTTCATTTACCTGAAAGGTTGGAGAAGCTGGAATCCTGGTTTTGACACTCAAAGCTCCATTGCTGAGGAGAGATGCGGACCGATTCGGTGAGCCTGGTGAATTCCTCCAGCCGACAAAGGTGACTGCAGCCAGGGATGCGAAGGTTGTACTCCCCTGTCTCATTACGATACATCACCTGCATGAAAATGAAAATTTCATGGCCAAGGGTAGGTAGCATAGAGCACTCTGTGGTTTATCATAAATACTTTAAGATCTTGTTGACTGTCCTTTCTAGATCCCTCGCTGTTGTTATTCCTGGTCATTTTTTGGATTTTGAAACAATTGTAGCCTTTGTTATCATGGTCTCAAGACTGGACTAGGACCAGGCTGCTGAAATAGTGGCCTGAATGGTCCCATCAAATCTCCAGTCCTAAAACATGGGCCATATCACCAATAGCAGTCTAGTTTTTGGGCTCAGGCTCCTTGTTTACACCAATAAGTGAAACCTCTGGTTTGAAAGCTACCTCAAGACAGTAATTGTTTATTTGCTGGTGTGCAAAATAAGCCTATGAATGTGATTAGGGTTGCATGGTTGCTTGGTTAATAGTTAAACATTAGGTGCAAATAGAGTTATGCAATTTATCAAAATATCGATATAATTTTAAAAACCTTGATATAAAGATGGGGGCAATATAGACCTCATCCACCATCATGCAAATTGATATGATGGCTGATAATTTATCACAAATATCAATAATGATATTTTCTTGTAGTTCAGTTCATAATCAGTATCAAATGTATTCCTTCAGAGACAGCTATTAAATAATAGCATAACCTCATCCACCTGATACTTCACTAATTGAGAGAAAGCAAACTTAGGCACTCTATTCTTGGGGCAAATAAAGATTCCTCATAAGACTAAAATATACCTGCCAAGCAATTATGGATCAATCATTTGTTCCAACAAGAGACATTTTCAGTTTGTGCATTGCACAATAACGCACTTTGTGTCACAAATCTAATCAGCTACCAGTTTGTCAAGTGCTCAACAAGAAGAAACAAAGAAGGAAATGACAGAAGATGGAAATGAAAGGAAAGTGGGGGAAAGAAAGAAAAAGAGAGAGCAAGAGAGGTGTCATTCATCAAGAATTATGCAGACTTTCAGAATATTCACACCCTGCTAGCTAGATTAACAGATATCATAACACAAGGTTAGGAAGATGAGCAGCAGTGTAGTGTTGGGGGAGCCAGGAAGGCACATACCCCCCCCCCACTTTTCAAGAAAAGAAGTTAAAAAAGAAGATGGGAAATACTCAGAGAAGCACAATAACTGTATCCCAGAGTTCCCATGCCACCCCTCCCCTCCAACTTTTTCCATCCACACTATGCTTATGAGGATGAGGACCTAATATTGACCATATCTGCAGAAGAGATAAACTGATATTGACTATCACAGAGTCATGAGTATCTTATTTGATTTCAATATCTAGGGTTGTTATAAAGTCACCACCCTATTTTGCTTGGCCATAATTTGTCAAGGGGCAGTCAGATGCAGCTGATACTTGACAGAGAGGTTCATGAGTCTAGGAGGATTTTTCAATAATGCAAGATGGCACTGTAGTTGACAGCAGTGCCCCCTACCTACATGCCATGTATGAAAAAAAACCTCTTTGGCCCATGAGCCTCTCTGTCAAATATCAACTGTGTCCAAGAGTCCTTTCAAAATATATGGTCAAAGTTTGGCCATAACTTTCAAAGGAATTGTCAGACACAGCTACGGTTTGATAGAGATGTTCATGGGCATAAACCCTATTTGCTTCCTTGCCTGCCACATGGGTGTACATGTCAACAGGGGATGCTGTGGTCTGGTATGAAAAGGTGAACCTCAGAGGAGTTCAATTGTCACAATATCAAGGAATGCAACATGCTCATTGTCTATTATGGTAGCAAATGTTCAAAATGATTTCCATCCATTTCCACAGCTGCATGCAACCTGTGCACAACTTGAATGAATGCTGCACAGATTACAGTCACTAGGATGACAACAATCTCACTACTAATGGCATCCTTCAGGGTAGGCAAATCTCGAGGTCATTCTTGATACATTTCAGGTCACCCCATAACCAGAAATTCAAGGGTGAAAAATCTGGTGACCATGGAGGTCATGGGTTGGGGAAGCGGCAGCTGACGATGCAACTGCCAAAGTATCATGGCGGCAGCAACTTCACATGCTTAATGAAACAGGATGGTGCACCATCCCATTGGAAGATTACATCTGCTAGTCATCCCTGCTCCTGCAGTTGTGGCAGCAAGTGATGGCAATGAGGATCAGTTGCTGTGGCAGTTCATAGTCCTAGTGGCATTTGTTCTTCAAAGAAGATAGGGAAGCTAATGAAGTCTGATGCACTGCCGCACCAGATGCCACACCTTGGGACTGTGCAAGAGCTTTTCAACCACGATTTTTGGCTGTTGTTCACCCCACATAAAAGCGTTCCTTGCTGACCAAGATGGATGAAAATGGGACTCATCTGTCCAAAAGACGTACCACAACCAATTGGGATCTTTAATCTGAGCAAGGAAATGGAGGGCGGATGTTAAGCATTGTTCGTTGTCGTTGGGCAATAGCTGCTGGACATGCTGCTGATGATAAGGATGCAGTCTCAGAGCACAGTGCAAAACATTATTGATAGTGGAAATGGGCATTTCTAAATGACTGGCGATCTGCATTGTGCTGTCACAAGTGGATGTGCTTACCAGTTCTTGTTGAGTGTGGCATACCTCAGCAACCACCTCAACTGAAGTTGATGGCTGGCCATCATGATGTAAATCTCTCACATTCCCAGTTTCTTCAACTCAAGCAACAAGTTTCCATGTTGCCTGCAGATAACATGGTCCCTTGACAATATTTTGTTTTCTTCAATAGGCACAGAGGGCTCTAGTTAGAGTTTCCATCTTGGTAATAACAGTGAATCAATGCCACATGTTGTTGCACCAAAACCTTCATCCTCTTGCCTCGAGTGGTGTGAATGCTAGAGAAATTTCATTATTTTAGTCCATACCTCTTCTCCATTTCTTACATTTGCTTATTCAACTACAGCACTCCATCAATGTGTACAGCCATGTGGCAGGCAAGGAGCAAAAAATGAAAGAGATGCCCATGATCATCTCTGTCAAACCTCCTTTAAAATTCCTTTAAAAGTTATGGTAAAATAAAGTCAGATGATTACAAGTAACCATCCAACTTTGTTTGACCATATCTTTTGAAGGAACTCTTGGATGCAGCTGATATTTGGTGGAGGTTCATGGACCAAAGAGGTATTTTTCTCATACTTAAAAAATGGCATGGCACGTAGGTAGGGGGTGCTGTAGAAAAGTATTAAGCATAGACACAAGAGAGACTAGTTTTCTCTATAAAGTATTGCAAACTGGATCGCAAACAATATGAAAAGAGTGCCTCTGAATGAATGAAAAACAGGATTAGGTTGGGCTTACAAAACATATCCAAAGGTACTTGTAAAAAGGTACTGAAAAAAATAAAGACTATCTATAGGACACCAATATATTGGGGGCTCTCTTCCTCCTGGAGCAATATATCATTTCTCTGAAGAAACATTTTAAGAATCTCATAAACCAAGTTATTAACAGATTAGGAAGAACCTAATCTGTAAAGAATACCACATCCATTTCTGCATGCTACAGGAAGCATCATATCCTTCTTTGAAGAGTAAGGATGGATCACAAAAGAGGAAATGCATGACACTCAATCAATCAGGTCCAAGCATACATACCCGAACATAATGGAGGCCGTTTTTCTCCCTGAGTTCCACAGTGACCATGCTTGCATAGCTGGGCTGCTGAGGGTCAAAGACATTCAGAGAACTGAGGAACGCAGAGATAGTGGAATCGTGTCCTGAGTACACGAACAGCTTCCGTTTCTTCATCTCGGGCTTACCGGCCACCTTGTCCTCCATCTGCTTCACCATTGTATAAACCAGGGGACCTAAAATATTCATCATCACTCAAACATGACTGCAAGTAAATCCAGCACCTCCAGGACCATAAACCATACCTCCACGCAGACGTTTGAGTTTTGGAGTGAAAGACACCAACATGTAGCTGAAGACTGAGATTGGCTTGATCTCATTTGGGTAGATCCCATTAGCCCATAATGGAAGAGTATAATTTAAGGAAGCCTGGAAAGAGTAACAAGACATCCACCAATAAAGCACTCATATTGCATGCTGAAAGAACTAAGGAATGGGAGAAAGTGTACTAAATAATTTAGTATTAGCATGAATGGCAAGTTGGAAGAGTAATATGCTGAATGGAAAAGGGGTCATCTACATTTTGCCACCTCACTCCAAGCCACAACTGTAGTGAACAAGTCATGTGTTAAGATTTCTTCCATAGAAAAACTTTTCACATTTAGACTCCATACTTGTACTCCAGAGACCTCTAGAGCAGAAGTATGGATCATATTCAATCAAGATGTATGAACTTTACAGGATGAAAATATGTAGGAAATTTGTTCTTTTTGAATATGATATTTTGGCAAACATCACAAATTCACTCAAAGATGTCATGCACATATATAGAATAGTATAAGAAAGCTTAAGAAACAAACATGAAGTAAGCTATCTGAGGACAGCAAGGACAAGATGCACACCAGCAAGAACATGAGCAAATGAATGAGAAATCCTGCTAAGCAAAAAATCATCACAAGGGATGCTAGAGAAAAATGGAAAGAAGCAATGTAGTATTGACATGGCAGGATGTAACATGGACAAGAGTGATAAGCACCAAGGTATCATGTCACCCACAGAGGGCAGAGAAGCCTTGACCCATGCCCATGATGTCCAAAGAAAACACAGTAGAGGAGGTCACTCAAGTCAAGAGTACAGGCAAGAATGGATTGAAATGCCCTTGATGTCCTTGGTACTTTCTTCCAATGCCTGGACCTGTGAAAGCTGAGCCACATCATTGAGAGATTATCTCTGTGAAAAGGCAGCGGCATTTATAAATGTAGCCAGGATGAGAAATGTGGCATGGCACAGGGACTCTGGGACACCATTATCAGGCATTTCATGCATCTCTTCCTTTACTTCTTTTGCTGCCCCCCCACACACACACACATGCACACTATATGGCCGGTGGCATTTTTCCTCAAAAGCTGTCTGCATGCAAAAAAAAAATCAAGGATATAAGTCATGCTCACCTCTATAGCCAATGTGTCTGAGAGAGAGTCTACTTGACCAAGAACATTTTCATTTGGGTCCAAGCCAGTGAAAGTCTGAATCTCAACCAAGACCTTTTTTGCTCGGTCCATCAGGTCTCTAACGAAGGAGTACCTGTCCTTCAAGGAATCCATCTCCTCGGTGACTGCTCGACAGGTGGAATCGGGGAACAGCAGCTGTGGGATCGAAATTCCACCATGAGTTCACAAGCCGCGTCATCCCAAAGGACTCGAACCGACTCGACTCGACACGCAACTCACATAGTCTTCGGACACTGGGACCGTGTGAATGGGGATGGGCTGCCAGGCGAGGTTAGGGTTCCAGATCTGGTTTCCCTGGGGTGGATAGAGTCCGGCCAAGTTCGCCTGTGCACTCATCAGCGTGCGGTCGTAATCCGTGCTTCTCACGAGGACTTCCGATTCGTCGTACATGGGATTCAGGAATCCTTCATAGCGTTTTCTGATTAATCCTCCCAGTTTGAAATGACGTTCTTTCCCTGGCTACAGGAGAAATATAAAAGAAACAAGCAGTTCGAGACAGTAATTGTAAACCCTAGGCCCACAGCATTTCCTCGAGTTACATTCAAGAGTTGTCCAGGTCCAACGGGCCAGTACTTTGGGTCCTTGTATGGGTCATTGGGATAAAACACGATAGGAGACCTCTCTCCGTGTCGGTAAAGCTACAAAGAGAAGCACATAAAATCATTCCTCGGAATCGTTTGACTACGGTCAAAAAAAGGTGGGAAAGCAGCTCACAAGGTGAACAAGCTCCAGTTCCCCGTAATCTTCACCGATCGACGCAGCATTCCCAACCAGCGCCACCGAGAGCAGGAATCCGAGGTTAAACACCGAGGATGTCATCGATCGAACCGACTAGCCTGCCGTGATTCAAAAACCAAGACCTCGAAAGCCGAGACAAAACCACGCCCGACGTGAACCAAACATCCCAACAGCTCAGCGCACCAGCCGCAATCGACCCTCGCGGCGACCTGGACGCCCCCACGCCCCCCAACCCTCCCCCGCTCGCGGACGCAGCTGCACGCCGACTGAGAAACGATCTCGCGAGGTCAAGCGACTCGTATTTCCCTGGTGGTCCGGGGACTCGGACGGCCACCAGATGTCACTCGGATCGATCGTCCGCGTTCCCTTTGCGTTTTTCGCCATTGCAGCACTCAGTTTTCGACTTCGTCACGCGATTCCTTGCTTAGTCTGCAATATTTCAGTCGTGAGCGGAATTTGGGAAGAAATCGGGTCGAGAAGTTTTCCGTGCTCCACTTTCATTGCTTACGAGGTCTGATAAAAAAATTCCAGTACTTCCTTGGTGGTGCATCATGATCCTGATGCATCACGTGGTGGTGATGGTGCATCATGATCCTGATGCATCATGAGTTTGTACCACGAGGCCCAGACAGTTAACCAGGCTTACTGCAAAGAGGATTTGACCCGTCTGCGAGAAAAAAAAAAAAATTCGAAGAAAACGGCCCCAACCTTTCCAAAATGAAGCCTGGTTTTTGCATCACGACAATGCTCCAGCCCACACTGTTCTCACAATTCCAGAGTTTTCGGCTAAAACAAAAAAAAAAATAAATAAATCCCGTGTTGCCCCACCCTCCCTATTCATCGGACCTGGTTCCTGTGACTTTTTTCCTTTCCCCGAGAATAAATTTCACGTGAAAGGATTTGAAGGGGTTGCAAGCATGAAGGAAAATGCTTAAGAGTCTTACACTCCAGGACTTCCTGGAGTGGGATAGCAATTAATTTTAATGCACTTATTAAAAAAATAAAGTTTACGAATAAAAAGTACTGTAACTTTTTGATCAGACCTCGCATTTGCGAGTGCAGCAATAATAATAATAATAATCAAATCGAGCCTTATCGATCTGTTTGCTTAGTTGCTTCTGTGTTCCAGGGCCACGTGTCATGCGGGATTTTATATGCGTTTAAATGGCCACTTCTGCGGCTTCTCCAGTGTTCAGCGGACACCGCAAAAATATGAAGCGCGAGTGTTTGGATCGTTGCCTTCCAGACGCGATTCCATTCACTCGATTCGTGGAATGAATGGGATCATTCGTCGATTCGAGGCATCAAGGTGGGCAATGCAAGCTCGTGCATGGAATGCATATAGCTGCATCCGATTTCAGATTCTCGTTATCTAACTATATAAGAATCCCATAGGGATTGCGGATATTGAGAAGGGTATAACCCAGTGAGGAGCAGCCCGCGGCCCGCGGGCCGCATGTGGCCCGCGAGGTCCTAGTGTGCGGCCCGCGGGACTTTGTCAACTGAATTTTTTTTTCCTGTCACCAAGCGCCTTGCTTGGTATTTTGCTCGGTAAAAAGGTGATAAGAAAATTCAAAATTAGTTATTTGCATATCATTAGCATATACTATTTTAGTGCCTGGTTTACTAAGCCAGGCTTAGAATTATTTTTGTACTCAGGAGGCATAAAACCCGCAATTCAGTGGTGGGGGGGGGGGAATAGATGCGGCCCGCAGTCAGAAAATGTTGCTCATCGCTGGTATAACCTGTGGCTAGAGGCGACACTCCGACAGTCGAGGGAATCCAAATGTTAAAGGCGACACTTCCGTCACGCGTGCCTCGCGACGGCGGGAATCGGGATTCGACTCGCGCGGGGATTCGACCTCTAAAGTGTCGTCGTCGAGTCCGCTGCTCGGCCGAGGAGGAGTTTCTCGACTCCGCTAGGAATCGGCGGCGACCGACATCCACGCTGGCCTGAAAGGGATTCGTGTTGAATGTCGCTTTCGTCTGCTCTCCATTCCCTGCCCGAACTTCATCTGCTAGTCAGAGATATGTATATAACTGGAAGAAAGAGAAGGGGCAAAAGGTACTCCGTGCCTCCGAACCCGAAAAACAGTGGTGAAGGGGGTTAGGGGGCATTTGCCTCTCACCCCCCCCCCCCCCCCCCCCCCCCCCCCCCCAGGTGAAGGGGGTTAGGGGGCATTTGCCTCTCCCCCCCCCCCCCCCGCTGCGCTCTTTCAAGAAGGGCCCACAAGGAAAGCTTCTCGGTATCCCTATAATTCTCCCAAATCTATTGAAATAGATGACAAAATCCCCAGTCGTGAGCATCGCAGGTACCCACGGGACCAGGAGAAAGCCAAGGGGTCAAGAAAGTAGGAAATCATTCTCGGCACGAGCCGTTATCGGCTCGCCCGTATTTCGGTTGAAGGGCGCCGGGATCTGTCCCAGGGCTGATCCCCCCCATAATACGCTATTGATCTTACGTAATATGAAAGGGCAATGCAATTCAGGTGACAGAACAGTTTCCAACCCGAGAAACTTTACCAAGAAGAAACCGACTTTTCGACGGGAGCAATCTCCAAGACATTTCAAAAATGCGAGGAAAAGAAATTGAAACCTTTCTCTCCCCCGACAACGTCGGTTTCCACTTCATAAACCTCCATCATGCTGGGAGCATCTTCCTCGTCACCTCGGGACTTCATCTTGACGGTTTAAATCCCGCCGCATTCCTCGATCATTCGAACGATTCCGAAATATGAAACGATCCCGGCATCCGACATCACTGCTGGCCGACATCACTGCGAACCCCCCCCCGATCCCCCCCTCGATCCCCCAGTCTCCTCGCTTCAACGAGTGGAAAGGATTCCGCGTTTCTCTGCACTTCCAGCGCCTTTTAAACAAGCTTCCAAGCGTAATTAGGGTAAACACCCCAGTTTTTGGCAACGCTGATACTTCCTCCCATAGTTTGTGGACACCCTGTGCGCACACCGGGAAACACTAGTAATAGGTCCTCGTACGGAAGATGTTGATAGAATGCTTGAAAACGGCCAGATAACTAATTATGCTGGCATTAAACCTCACCGGTCGACAACTGAAGACCGGCCAGAAACCGGCCCTGCCCGTTTTCACATTCTATCCTTATTAGATAGGCCTCTCTTAACCAGGGCCGGATTAAGGGAGGATTAACCTCAAGAAATCACTTGCCCCGGGCCTCGTAACTTCTTAATCTGGCCCTGCTCTTAACCCAACTCCCAACTTTTTAATGTGAAATTTCTGAAAACCATTATTAAATTTTTATTACTCTGTGACAAAGACGACCAGTATCGCAAAAAAAATGCTGGCATTTTGGTGACGCTGGGACGAACAAGGTCAAGGCAGAAATTTTGCGAAAGCAAATCCGTCCACTGTCTAGTCTGTCGCATACAACAACAGCGGCGATCATTTCTCTCCCCGTGCCATGAAAGCGTCTTACCTGTTGAAGCCAGTCGCGGATGGGGCAAGGACGACCCAACACTGTTCCACGCACTCACTCCCTGGATAGAGTCCGAAGATGAAGAAGAAAATGACGTTATCGAATCCCCTTCTTGCACCACACCTGCTGAATCGACGCGCGACTCTCCATAATACAGACGTTTCCAGCAACGCCAACCCCCCCCCCTTATTCTGGGTTTATCCTTACGCAAGGCACGGAATCCCTGAATTTCAAATTCCTTATCCACGATATCGGAGTTCTCCTAAGTCTCAATCACTTCGAGGACATCGTAATCGATTCCCAGTACCGCCTTCCCCGCAGCTCATCCATTTTATCGCGCATTCGTGAAGAAACACTCTCTCCGATGATTACCCTGTCCTTTGCTTGCAGCATCCGACCATTTGTATACTGTCGCTTGCCCTCGAGTGTTCATCCCTTTCCCTCCTCCCCCGACCTAAGAAGAAAAATTGACATCTCCTTCCTCGTTGCCATCACGGCCGCATTGGCTTCCAATACTCGATCGACCTATCGATTACTGACTCGGGCCCGCGTTCATCCGATGGAATCACGCACACGTCGAGCTTACTCCCGACGAAGCGTCATCGATCACTCGCTCGAATTTGCCAGCGATGAGCTCTGACCTAAATTTTGGGGCGCGATCGGACCACCGACACCGATCCCAGCGGCACACTGTGTTGCCCCGATATCGGGCCAGGATCGCAATGCAGGTCCGCCATCGGGCCGACGTCGGTCCAACATACCAGGGACAACGTCGACCACCGTCCGAATTCATCCTAGCCCCCCCCAAAAAAAAAAATCGGAGGAAGGGGCTAATCGTAGTCCATGACATCGAAGGCAACTGATTCCTCCGGATGCTCCATTCGTTCTCGCGTGTGTTCGACGCGTGCAGGCGACTAATGGGTTCGAACCCATCGAAGATTCAGGCCTTGAGAGAGAGGGAGAAAATCGGCCGGGAGTTGTCTCACTGTGAGGGTAACGTGCGCATTTTTCTTTTTTTTTTCCTCGAAACCCTGAAGGTACACATTTTTGCACGATATCCCTTTTTCGTGCGAACCCACCGGCACATCTACATACTAGATCCAGGACAATTTACACCACGAAAACCCGCTCTTGAATTTCAAATCCCTTATCCACGATATCGGAGGTCCTCTAAGTCTCAATCACTCCGAGGACATCGTAATCGATTCCGAGTACCACCTTCCCCGCAACTCATCCATTTTATCGCGCAAGCAGCTCCCATTCGTGTAGAAACACGCGTTGATTACCCTGCCCTTTCTTGTCGCATCCGACCACTCGCTTGTCCTTGATAAAAAAAAAACATACATAATAATAATGATAACGAATTAAAACGCATTTCCTTCTATTCTTAAGGCCGTCCTACACACAGCGCTCTCGCGCGTGACGCGTGCGATGCATACAAAACGGATCCACGCAGATGCTCAAGATTTTCACGTTTGCAAGCACGTTCGTACCTGCGTCTCCATCGGGGCCGATAGAGCGCCAATGCGTCTGGTCGCATACACAGCAAAGGAGAAACGGACAGTGAGGTACATATTTTGTACGTTATGAGGTACAAACGTATGTAGTAAAACACGTTCGTCGAAAAGGTATCAAAATAAGGTACACACGTGTACCTTTCTCATCTCTATTCG